TCTTTCTTTCTTTCTTTCTTTCTTTCTTTCTTTCTTTCTTTCTTTCTCCTTCCTTCCTTCCTTCCTTCCTTCCTTCCTTCCTTCCTTCCTTCCTTCCTTTTTTCGGTTTTCAGGACATGGTTTTTCTGTGTATCTGCGTATCCCTGGCTGTCCTTTAACTCCTTTGTAAACCAGAGTGGCCTTAAACTCAGAGATCCTCCTGCTTCTGCCTCTCTAGGGCCTGGCCTTATTACAGGGAATTTTGTATGTGTGTTTAAACAGGACTCACTCTGCAAGCCAGGGTAACATAGAGCTTACTAGTCCGTGCTGGCCTAAAACTCAGAGGGTTCCTTCTGCCTCTGTACTAGGATTTACATGCATTTGCCACCATGCATGATTCACTTGGTTCTTTTTACAGTTTAAAATTGTGACGACAAAACAATAATTCCAGTCGGGGGTGGTGATGTAAGCCTATTATCTCAGCATTTGGGAGGTTGAGACAGGAGGATCAGAGATCTGAGGCCAACTTCTGTTACACAGCGTGTTTGGGGCCAGCCTGAGCTACGTAAGACCTTGACTCACATAAACAAAGCAAAAATCAGCTGAGGCTGTGGCTTAGTGGTAGTGAGGTCAAGGTTCAGTCTCTAGTACTAGAAGGAAAAAAACTCAGAAACATCTGTGCCTCATTTCCTACTTCTGTCGGACGGCGTTCTTACTGGCGCTTCTTTCCACGTTGTTTGGTTGTTGCCCAAGAATCTATTTCTGCATGTGGGATTGCTTGGAGAAAAGGGCATTCATTACTTGGGGTTACTGAATCTCTCAAAGCTTAAGAGAACAAGACCTGGATCCTCTCGGGATCTGCCCCACTTGGTGGGAATGTGTAGGTTGTAGGACGGGCTCCGAATGTCCCAGTCCACAGGTTCTAGTCCTGAAGCTACTAGCTGGGCCTGGGCTCATGGAGCTCGAAATAGCAAAGTAAAGCTCTGATATAGCCCTCGTCCCTTCTGGTAGAGGTGTTGTTCCAGTGGAAGAATTAGGGTCTACACAACAGGGGCCTTTGAAAAGACAAATTTGACACTATCCACTTTAAGCTCAGAACTCATGGCAGGGAAGCTTGGAGGAGCTGCCGTGAGCAGTGGCGCTCAGGCCAGGTGCTGTGCCACACCCAGCTCCGGCCAGGTTTCGGGAGTGTTTATGTCTTATTTTGACATTGATTTTGAGAGTTTTCACTCTGTGTGGCCTAGGCTTTAGGAAGCTCATAGCAGTCTTCTCGCCTCAGCCTGCCAAGTGCTAGGATTACAGCATAAGTGAGCCAACACCCAGAGCCAGTAATCCTAAATTAAAAAACATGTGCATATATACGCATGCCTGTAGATATACACGCACATATACATATACATTGCTCTTCTAGCTGCGTCCCTGCACTTCTTCCTCCCCCTGTCCACCTGGATAGTTTCTAGATTTTTCTTTGTCCTTCCAACAAAGCTAGGCGGTGGGTGGCGTCTCTGTAATGCTTCATGGTGATGAGCTCAGAGAGGCACACCATGCACCCCAGGCCACGAAGCTCCTGTGAGCCGGTTCCCGTCATGCGTATCTGTGAGAACTCAGTGAAAAGTGGCAGAGGGAAGCTGGGAGGAGGAGGGCGGCACCACACTTAAGCATTTCCTAATAGGTAGGGTTAAAAAGTTAACAGGAAAGGAAGGGACGGCTGAACGACTGGCTGCCTGGGCCGCGCCGGGTCTCTGGGTTCCCAGGTTTGCAGTCAAGCTTCCTTCCAGTTTGATGCCTGTGGGGTTGAAAGATCAAAGGTGCGCGCTGAGGCCACCAGGATGCAGGGTAGGGAGCAGGCTCTGCTCGGGGTCTGGTTACCCAATAGGTAATTAATGCTCGAGGGTGATCAGCAAGAAATGCTTTGATCTTCCACCTCCCTTGAGGAGAACAAAGCCCATTTCTGGAACTGATTAGGTGCTGTGAGGTCCTCTCTGGTGGGATGTCCTTTAATTCCAGGATGCTACCAATCACCATCCATCACTGGTCCCTCAATTGGCTGTTTCCATGAGTGACATTGGACTTGTTTTGATCTGTCTACACCCTGGCTGCTTCCTTTTATCACCAGGTGGCAAGATTTGGGGGTCCTGTCTGTGACTCTGAAGGCAAGGCAGGGGGAGCTCTGTTTTGTTTGAAGCCTTCGTCTGACCTTGGCCCTTATTATTAGGCCAAACTTCTGCTCACCAGCCAGACAGCTCAAGCCATGAGCTTGCCTGGGACATTCTCAAAGGAAGCAACCCAAAGAGGAGATTGAGGCATAGCTGGCCCCTGTCAAGACAGCTGTTGAATTCTCCCGCTTCCTTTGTTTGTTTGTCCGTGATAGGGTTTCTCTGTTCAGCCCTGACTGTCCTAGAACTTGCTCTGTAGACCAAGCTGGCCTTGAACTAAGAGATCCACTTGCCTCTGCCTCCTGAGTGGAGGGTATGAGCTGCCATGCTCTTTGAGGACGTTACAGGATGGCTGCAGGATGTGAGGGAGGTGACACAGGTCCCATGTCACCTGTGGTTTTACTTGGTTTCTCTTCCCCTTTTTCTGCATTTGAGCAGATAGATTAGGTGTGGGAGGCCTGATCAGTCTGGGGTCCTTCAGGATGATGTGCAGTCTGCCCCTGAGAAGGCCAGACCATCCAGTCAAAGGGCCCAGAACTTCCTGCATTGTACTTTAGCTACAGAGAGATGAAATGAATGACCTGTGATGCTTATGAGGTGAAGCCGCTGGGCTCAGTGGTTCTGCTTGGGGCTCTGTCACTTTCTAGAGAGGCTGTGTGGTCTAAGGAGGGCCAGTCGTTAGGCTGGAGACATCAGCTTCACCTGGGAAGCTTGTTACAATGTAGCACACGCCTTTAACTTGCTGTGGGCTCCATAGCAAGTTCAAGGCTACCTACCCTAAGGTACAGAGCAAATCTCACAAGCAGTGGAGAGGTGGCTCAGCGGGTAAAGGACTTCCTTGCCATGTCTAACGACTTGAGTTTGACACTCAGAACCCTTGTGTTAGAGGAGAGAACTAACTCTTGCAAGCTGTCCTCTGACATACATACATACATACACACACACATACATACATGTTTTTAAGGGCTGTCTTGGGACCCGCCCTTGACATTGAAAACTCAGCAGTCTCTGGCTGAGCCCTGGGAATGTCTGCTTCTGAGAGCTTCCAGACTATTCCAAGGCTTGAGCATGTGCTTTAGGGCCAAAGTCAGACACCCCTGGTCACTGACACCTGGCTCTGCCACTGACTATCACTGCACTAGTGTGTAAGTCTAAGCCTTCGTTTATCCGTCTGTAAAGGGGATTCCGGCACAGTTACTGAGCGATA